CAACAGCAATCAAAAAACGTATATTTATACAAATATTACAGATATACAGACCTTAATGGTTCACTCATCTTCTACACTCACCTTCTACTAAGGAAGTCCTTAGCAGCAAATCTTTCCCTTCTAAGACACACACACACACACACACACACACACACAAAATCTGCTGTGAATTCTATGGATGCCAGGAAGGGCATCCATCCAGTAAACACCTAGATCCATTCAGTCATCCCAAATTAAGGGATTATAGAATCACAAAAAGGGAGTAATGGTTGTCTATACAAGCCAGACACCAATGTATGCATTCTTCTAATATATTGCTTTTTGTAAATAGAATAGAATAGAATTCTTTATTGGCCACATGCGATTGGACACACAAGGAATTTGCCTTGGTGCATATGCTCTGAGTGTACATAAGGGAAAAGATACATTCAAGAGACAAAAATCATAAGATACAGCTCTTAATTGTCATAGGGCACAATAAGCAATCAAATAGGAAACTGTCAATAGAAATCGTTAGGAAACAAGCAACAAAGTTACAGTCATACAGTCATAAGTGGGAGGAGATGGGTGGAAGGGAAGATGGGAGGATTAATAGTAATAGTAATAATAATGCAGACTTAATAAATGGTTTGACAGTGTTGAGGGAATTATTTGTTTTACAGAGTGATGGCATTCCAGAAAAAACTGTCCTTGTGTCTAGTTGTTCTGGTGTGCAGTGCTCTATAAGATCGTTTTGAGTGTAGGAGTTGAAACTGTTTATGTCCGGGATGTGAGGGGTCTGTAAATATTTTCACAGCCCTCTTTTTGACTCATGCAGTATACATCGATTGAAAGCAGGTTGGTAGTAATTGTTTTTTCTGCAGTCCTAATTACTCTCTGAAATCTGTGTCTGTCTTGTTGTGTTGCAGAACCAAACCAGACAGTTATAGAGGTGCAGATGACAGACTCAATAATTCCAGTGTATCAGCAGCTCCTTGGGCAGTTTGAGCTTTCTGAGTTGGAGCAGATAGAACATTTTTTGTTGTGCTTTTTTGATGACGTTTTTGATATTAGGTCTTGTGATATGATAGAACCTAGAAATTTGAAGGTCTCTACTATTGATACTGTATTATCTAGTATTGTAAGAGGTGGTAGGATGGGAGGGTTTCTCCTAAAATCTATCACCATTTCTATGGTTTTGAGTGTGCTCAGTTCCAGATTGTTCTGGTCACACCACCAGGCAAGTTGTACAACGTCCTGTCTGTATGCGGATTCATCATTGTTTCGAATGAGACCAATCATTGTTGTATCATCTGCAAGCTTCAGTATTTTAACAGATGGATCGTTTGAGATGCAGTCATTGGTATATAGGGAGAAAAGAAGTGGAAAAAGAACACAGCCTTGTGGGGTGTGCTATTTGTATCAGATGTGATTTTATCTTGCTTCACCTGCTGCTTCCTGTGTGTTAGTAATGAATACTGTTTTGATAGTTATTCCTTAGATACAGATACATTCCTTTATAGTACATCAGAATATTGAGTTAATTATTCTTTGGTATCATCTACCAGAATTATTATTCTGGTAGATGATACCATTAAACTAGGCACTATTCCTATTTTGGTAAAAATCCATATTTTTCACCAAATGATACTGTAGCCTACATTTTTGAGGTCCATTGAATTTCGATATATTGTTTATGGGCTATCAGAAATCATTCCCATTGTGGTAATGAATTTTTTTTTAAACCTTTCTTAAATAATCTTCTTAAAACCATTCTACTTGCATTAAGTATTCTAAGGTGGGGGGTTTCAGTCCAAAGTGCTTTTATATATGTCCTTATTGATTAGAACTGTTATTTTTCATTATGATCCTGTAATGTAATGATAATGCAGTAATAGTCCATATCTAATGATTTCTTATCCAAGGACTAAACAAATTAATGTAATATATTTAGTGTGAACTTCTAAGAGTATTGTTAAGATAGAACATTTACATGTCCATTTTATTGCCCAAGTGGTAATAAAAGTGAACAGTTTTCATCCAACTGTCAGGGAAATGCCTAGTAATAAGTGGGCAAGATTCCTATTTTTTTTTTTAATTCAACCATTTGAATTTGGAACAATATATTTAAAAAGCTGCAAAAACTTGTTTAGTAGCTCCAGGGAACACAAACAAATAAATAAATACATCTAAAACTGTCTGGAGAGCTCAGATACACGAAGAAAAGGAGCAATTTGTCTAAAATAAAAATGTAACAAAGGTAGCTTAGCTAGATTAGAAACAGCATTTGCTATTTAATTTTGAAATATATAGTAACAGTGGAAGGGTATCTAAAATTGTAGGACAAAAAATTGTACTGGCATTTTTAATTAGTTGCCTATTTCTTTGCACATTTATTTGTTTCCTTTTCCTTCTGTCAACATATCTTTTATCTTTCATTTTAAAGGAAGTATTCTAATAACAGAAAATTGGCATATATGGTAACATAAAATTGTTTCACTATAGATTATACATATGTGTAATGCGTAATGTGTAATGTGTAATCCGTTTCCATGGTGAACTTGATTTTGGGGTGTGTGCTGTTTAGGTGTGTTAGGAAATTGTTTAGGTTTTCTTTTCCATGGGGCCAAATCACAAATGTGTCATCGATGTATCTTAACCATAGTTTGGGTTTGTGGATGGCATTGGCCAGGGCTCTGGATTTGAATTCTTCCATGAACAGGTTTGCAATGACGGGTGACATAGGGGCTCCTTCAATTTGTTTGTATCTTTGTCCTTTGTATATGAAACGGAAACAAACAAACAACTACCAATCCTAGATGTACTAATCTACAAAAAAAACAGATGGCACACTAGGACACACCGTATACCAGAAGAAAACACACACTAACCGCTACCTCAACGCCCAATCCCACCACCACCCAGCACAGATAAACTCTGTGGCTAAAACACTAATTACTAGAACCAAACGCCTGACAGACAAGACACACATTAAGACTGAACTATGCACCCTGACTAAAGTACTGACAGCCAATGGCTTCCACAAAAGCAAAATCACCAGCTTGATCCACAAAAACACACTGAGACATAATAGAGACTCAGAAGATGAACAGACCCATGGAACAGCTGTCCTGCCCTACATAAGAGGTACTACAGACAAAATTAGTAAGAT